TAGACCAGTGTTTCTCAAAGTGGCTCCAATGAGGGCTAAGGAAAATCAATGGCACGCCTGGATTGGATGCTTTGGAAATGGCCAGCCAATAGCATGTTAAGCAGCATTTCAGCTCACCTTATTCTGAAAAATGAACAAAAACATAATTTTTTGGCAATTGATTTGGAGTTGCATTTCACAAAGTGACATGGTAGATAAATCTAGCATAAGTCTAAAAGCGCTGTTGTTCTCTCCAATGTGCTGGTCCCAGGACTCTGAACTAAAGAGGACAGTGGACGAGAGCGAGCGCATAAAGAGGGCCTACGGACATTACTTTGATCTTTGCATCGTGAACGATGGTTTGGAGGCAGCCTTCCGCAGCCTCCGGGTGGCGCTGGAGAAGCTCTCCATGGAGCATCAGTGGGTGCCGGTCAGCTGGGTGTTCTGAGCATTGCCCACAAAGAGTCGGAGGACGCATCGTCACCTGCGCCGATGGAGCCGCACGGCGGACATCGGCACAGGCGACCAGCCTCACGGAGACACATTTTTTTGTACAAACTAAGTGTTCCTCTGTTGACCCTAATGTCAAGTTGTGATTAATTTGTCAAAACTGGTTGTTTGTTGAGGAGGCTTTAGAGACGACGACGAGTTGTAGTGAGATAGTTTAAATGCCGGAGGGACAGTTTTAGCCTTCACAAATCTTAAATACTTTATGTAGTGTAAATGTTTACATTTGTTCTGTAGGAAGGATTGAAGAAAGATACCAAATGTCACATTTGTGTTGAAAACTTAATATTTTTGCCATTTGATCACATGGTATGATTGTACGTGTTCAGAAATGTGCTAAAAAATGGCAATAGTTACTGAAATAAACATGCAATACACTGACTGACGCACCGGAAAGGAAACACACACATTTCTGCTTTGGGAAGAATGGAGGATGTTCATGTTGAGACAGTTTTCATTCATCTTCTTTCCTTTTTGAATGTTGATTTCTGTGCGTTCGTCCTGACAGTTAGAGGATGCAGCAGATGTTTGAGTTTAATCCGTAGCACCAGTAACAATCAAACCGTAACACCTTCAGTAGCCTAGACCTGTTGTGTGCGTTGTTTAACGAAGGGGAAACATTTGACCTTAACGTTTACTTATTGGACTCTTGATGGAAGATAGTTTTTTTTTTTTTTTTACTTTTATGTAAAACCGGTTACCAGTGGCTTCAAATTCATGTTTACTTTTGCCTTAATATGGTTCAAAAGCCAAGGAAACTATTTTTTCATCATGGAACTTTTCATTTCTGTCAGTGTACATGTTCCTTAGGAATAAACACATAACTCTGTCAGCTTATTTATTGTCCATTTAATCTTTCTTTCAGCCTGTAAGTACTGTATTGTAATAAAGAGTGTATAGAATATCAAAGAAACACCTGGTGCTCTGATGATTCGGCTGGTGTGCAGTACTCTTTATTCTGATCTTCATATGAAAAGTTTATTAAAAATGCAGTTGGTTAAAAATGTTGCACTCTTTTTGTTAAGTAATTTTGATATGCATATATGCAAAAGTGTTCATATTTTTTAATTTTTTGAAAATATATTTTTCATCTCACTTGTACCTAAAACGTCAGTTTATTTGCAGTTTTATCTAACGCTCCAACACAAATGATGTGTAATGAAAATTATATGAAAATAAATGGTTTTTAAACTAAAACAAAAATAAAATCAAATCTGAAAAGTGTAGCACGTTTTTGTATTGAGCCGTAAGTCAATACTTTGACTTATTCCTGTGGGTTTTATTTTGGGGTATAAGAGTAAAGGGAGTTAAATCAGTGTTTTTTTTTTCTTTTAGTAGTAGAATATTTTATACTATATTTATAATATCTTCTAATATTTCAAATAAAATCTGATTGTTCAGCTGAAGGATGCTCTCCGTGAGCGGTGCTGACTGCGGGGTAAGGCAGGTGGGGTCAGCTGTCCACGTTCCAGGGGAGTCATCCAATGAGAAGCAAGGGGATACATATGATATGGAGGCGGGGCCTCGCCCGGCCAGATACCTGTCAGTTTGGGGTCAACCTGCATGAGAAAAACGTTACTTTGAGGATTTTGTGTTGATGTATTTAAATCAACCATTCATCTGACTGCATACACAAGTTCTCCAAACAGGTTGCTAGGCAACGGAGGGCTAAGTGTGTTTTCCCAGATGAACATCAATGGGAAAACACACTGGCTTTAATTTCAGAGGAAGCTGAAATTAAAGCCACAACTTCCAGATTGCAGCTTCCACTGAGCCATAGTCGCTGACTGTTAGGGGGCGCTGTTACACGGCCACAAACAGAAATAATCAGTTATAAGAGAAAAGAAGCTTGTTTTTCAGTCATATTCTCATCATGTTATTCATTCATTTATGAAATAACATTTTTAAAAAGGAAGCTAAATATTTATTTTACAAAGTAAATATTTAGCTCCAAAATATTTTGTTTAGCAATCTAAATATTTAATTAGTAAACTAAACATTTAGTAAACATTTAGTTTACTAAGTGTTAGTAAACTAACATTTAGTTAGTTTACTAACTAAACATTAGTAAACTAACTAAATTTTAGTTTACATTTAGTAAAACTAAATGTTTACTAAACATTTAGTTTACTAACTGAAATATTTACTTTAGTTTGCAAACTGAATATTTAGCTCCAATATATTTAATTACGACGTCAAATAGTTAGTTTGAAATTGTGATATTCATAGTTGAATGAATGACGTGGTGAAAATATGAATCCCACGTTTTTTCTTTTATGACTGAATTATTGCTGTTTATTTGTAACTTGGTAAAAATCGCCACATAGAAGCTTCCTTAAGGTTTAAGGCTGGTTTCACTCTAACTGCTTTTGGCAAAATCAATTTTGGTGTTTCATTATTCAGATTTACATGTGATTGTTTTTTGTATATTGGTAGGAAAGTTCATTTTTGGGTTAATTTAATGTAACAGTTGACGTTGGTGGCAACTTATCCATCCTCACCAGTGAGTATGGAGGCGGCTGTCCCACGGTGCTGTAGCGTGGAGTATGTCGGTTGAACTCTGTGTCCACTTCCACCTGGTCCTCTGGTCTGCATATTGCTTGGACTTGCATTGTTACCGTGGCGTCGTGCTGTTCTCTTCTCTTCTTCAAGTGATGATAGAAGCAGAGGAGGACGGCTGCAATGGAGATCACTGCTACCGGCAATCTGGGAACAAATAGTTTATTTTCACACAGACACTCTGGAGCTCAGACGGACGCCATCTTGAATTCATTGTTAACTCACATCATTCGAAACATCCTTCAGTCACAGCTGGACTTAAGTCGACCTGCTGGCATCACTGAGAGACGAAGCGCATCGTTTCACCAACCTACTGGGCAAAACGAGAGCGTTTTCTGTTCCTGCACCAAATCAATAGGAAACAACTGAACAGACTGATGCAATTTGTAGCCAAATTAGAAAATAATGTCTTTTATATCCCAGCTGATACTGACACACCCCAAGTCAAGTGATTATGCCCTAAGGTGACCCGACAACGTTTCCCTCACATGAACATTCAGATGTGCACCGATAATAGTTGGTTAGAAGGATTTAACAGAACAGACCAGCAGTATCTGAGATCAAATACTTCTAACATTTATCCTGAAATCTGTTGTTTTTTAAACCTTAAGCGACAAGTGAAGCTCAGTCTCAGATCTATTATCTGATCAGATATGTAACAAACAGACTCTTTGGACGTTTTAGAGACTAATCTTACCTTGTTTGAGAATCCCAAACATCCAGAAGTTCTCCAGAGCCTGAGCTGCTGTCAAATGATAATGTGTCACATGAAGGAGGCAGAGTGACCAACATTTACAGCATCGCTGTCATGCCACAGAGGGGTGTGTTCACTCTTTGTCACACTTATTGTACAGAGCTATGTTCAAACCCCTGACACTTTTACACATTTTGTCACAACCACATAATTCAACATGTTTTTGGGGGATTCTGTGTGCAGTGCAGTAATTATTTTATATATAAATAATATAAAATAATTTTTAGATAAACATCTAAAATGCGTGATTTCCGTTTGCATTTAGCATGATGTCAGGTTACTTTTTTGTTTCTTTGGACCAGCTTTGCATATTTTGTAAGACAAGAAAATATGCAAACATAACCAAGAACAAAATCCCACTAATCTTCTGTTTGAAAAGGAGCAGCAAGAAGTGAACACTATATTTAATGTGATATATATCACCTACATAATCCATTATTATTAGAAATTTGTAATTGAAAAACATGTTATTCAATTCTCTGTGGTAAAAAACCTACAAATAAATTCTGTTACATAGAACAAAATGATTTCAAACTGACTCTCAACAAGACGAGAAAATTTACTGACACATAATAATAGTAATAAAAATGACTTGTGAATAACAAATGAGCATCAGAGTAATCTAGGCAAACATTCATATCCAGAGTCTTTTTTTTGCCCTTCTTCTTTGCTCCAGTTAAGTGAAGTTCCACCATGATGCTGCCACCACCGTGCCTCACTGTGAGGGTGTTGTGAGGTACAGTGAAACCAAGCAGATTTCCCAGCTTGGTTTCATTTTGATTAGTTACTTTCAATCCATTCAACTGGTTTCACTGGGTTTCATTTGGGTGTATTAGAACAACAAAAGGTAAATCCAAATTCACACCACATTTTACAATTTCTTTTTTTTATTGGTAAAAAGTGTTCAAAACATAAAGTAGAATGAAATAATTTGTTTCCACTTTACAAAACAAAGTCAGTTCTTTGCATTGTCACATAAAGTCTTTATAAAATAGAAGTTGGTTCTGGGACAAATAAAACTGTCAACACATCTGGCCATATTAAAACTCATAATGTCTATTAGAGGAATCAGCAAGAAAAGAGAATGCATCAGGTTGAAGGAGTGGGAAACTTTAACTATGCTCTACCTGAGTAGAGCATAATACTGGTGTAAAGGCTCTAAAAACATCAGCTGAACTTGAGATCATTTATGCATATGTTGTTTTTTACTTTTTGATGACCTAAACAAATTAACTTCTTTTTTTTTAAATGGGAATCTGCTTATATATGCACAATAAAGCAGCACAAACAGTACAGTATTATTGTGCTGTACTCTTCTTCCTCCTCTTCCTCTGTAACAACAGGATGATGAGGAAGATGAAGGGTTCATTCCTGAGAACAGATGAAACATGAAACAGATTCAACGCTGATGATTCCATTAACGCATTTAAAAAGTTGGATTATGGAGAGTGCAGAATGAGCCCTGAACTCCAAACAGGAATCCTAACATGAGGGAGAATTACATTCACTGCTGGGGAAATACTTCAACTCTTTGAGGAAAACAGAAGAAGAAAATATGACTGAGTGTCGCTGACCTGCTTTAAAAACCGTAAAAGCAAAATTATGAAGAATCCTTTACACAATAATCATCCACATGGCAAAACAAAGTTCTGGTAGTGTCATGCTGAGGGAATCCGTTTCTCCAGCCTGAACAGGGCAGCTGGTCAGGGATGAGATTAAGTAAGTTAAATCGAAGAGTTCTAAAGGAAAACCTGCAAATGATCTGAGATCGAGTTTCACCTTTCATCAGTAGAAGAGCAGCAATTTTCTTTATTTTTACAATGGTCCAGTCAAAGTCCAGAGCTAAATGAAACTGAGAAGCTGTATTAAAGTATAAAAACTTGCTCTTTTGCAGACACTCTTCATTAAATCTGGGAGAATTTAAGCCAATTTATAAGGAAAAATCGGCAAATTGTTCAGTCTGTCGTGTAAATCTGGTAGAGACAAACCTGGAGCGACAGACTGACTCACTCAGCTGATTTCTGTCTGCAAAAATGGTTTAGAAACATATTCATTTTCATTCAGTTTGCACATAACACCGCACATGGATTGTTGTGGTGGTAACATGACAAAATATACTAAAAATACAGAAAAAAGTATGAAAACTTGTGAAAAAGAAAAAACCCTCAAATCTGAAACTTACAAAAAATAACTAATTTCTCTCAGATGGTTGAATTTAATCCATTTTCTCTCAGATTAAATTGATTTAACTTAAAACCAACATACTTTAAAAGTTTCCCTTCATATTTATCTGTGTCTAGATCTTTATTTGTACAGTACAGCGTAACAGACACTGTCAGGTACAGTAAATGCACTTAATTATAGAGGTTTTAAATATGACTTGCAGCAGACAGTTCACACCCTCAGTGGCCTGTTTAAAGACGCAGAGCACACTGAGGTCAAAGCTGCCAGTGTTAGAGACTTAGAATCACGTTGACCAGACAGGAAAGTGACCGCTGCCTGGGTTGAGCCGCAGACCGCTGCAGTTTGAAGTAACCCTCATTATGATGAGGCACGGACGTTATGGGGAAGAGGAAACAGTGATGGAAGAGCTGATGACAGGAAACCAGGAATCCCTGTTTCAGCTTGTTTTGAAGGAATGCGGTGGAGGTGCTGTCGGGACACGCCGGGACGATCCTCGCCGCTCACCTTCTGTACGCACAGAATGCTGAAGGAGAGATTTTCTAAACCAGAAAATGTCACTTCGGGCTCGCGCTTTGGAATTAATCACAGATGAAACAGCTCAGGGTTCAAACACCTGCACACACGCACACACAGACACAGACACTTTGCTTTAGTTCTGCTTCAAAGTTAGCAAAACCCTGAGTGACACAATCTACCATCTAGAAGAGAGGTGGTGGGGGAGGGGGTGGTGGTGGTGGTACACCACTGGCTGGAGGAGGAGGAGGAGGAGGAGGTAGACCGGTGCTGCTGGCAGCATGAGGCGGAGGGAGTGGAAGGAAGCTGTTGTCCAACAGGCCGATGGCCGGTGGAGGAGGGGGTGGGGGAAGATTGGATGGAGATGGAAAGGAGGGTGGAGGAGGGAGGCCAGTGTCCATTGAGGAGGGAGGAGAGGGCAGGTTTGTGGCAGAAGCAGGTGGAGGAGGGGGAGGCAGGCTGCTCGCTGTGGGCTTAGTGGGAACAGAGGGTAGAGGTACGGCGATGCCGTGGGCCGACCTGTTGAGGCAAAACAACAGGACAGCAGTCAGGACTTCTACATCAGGTTCAGCTAAATCAGATGTTATCAAAAATATATCTTCATCACATCAATACAGTAGCAAAAGAGACTAACTCTGTAGAGATCCACAGCTTAGGTGGAAGAATCTCTCAACAGGACATATTTTAGACAAGCATTCCTCTAAATCTGATCCAAAATCATTTCTAAGTAAAATCAATTTCATTCAAAAGTCATCTAGTTAGTAGACATGTCTACTAACCTGTCTAATTTATTCTCAGTGTATGCATAGCTGTTCTGCGATGACCTCAGAGATTCAGGGAACATTAGTGCTCACACGGCATCCACACGACAGAGGAACACAGCAGACAGATCAGAAAGAAACAGCCGAGGTAGGAGTAACCTACAAGCCATGTAAGGAACACAGTAAAAAGGCGCGACTGTGAATTTGGACTTTATGACGTACATTTAAAATGATTTGTGTGATGGCAGTCTACCACCTCACATTGCTCTGATCACACCATCACAATGGTGAACAGGCCAGGATGTCTGAGATCAAGACCAAACCCAAGACCACATCCTCCAGAACCAAGACCAAGACAACACCTGCCAACACCAAGCCGACCTTCGAAGATCAAAACCAAGACGTTGGCTGTACCTTTCAAGACCAAGACTAGATCCTCCCAGAGTAAGACAAAGCCAGGAACTTCCAAGACCAAGAAGAATGGGTGAAGATTTAAGTTTCTAGATGTGTACCTGGTAGAGACACATCTCAAATTGTCTATAAAATTAATGTTGAAAAACTGTCATTTTCGTTTCCCTTCACAACCTTGCACTACCTATCAGACAAGAGTCCAATGAAAAGCTTTGAAGTTTGTTGTCATGTGATGAAATGTACAAAGACTGATCTCTGTACTGATGAGATTTATGTCTACATACACAGAGTGTTCTTCAGCTCGCTCCGTGTTCTCTGTGGTCTTTGTGTTCTTGCTGGGCTGCTGCTCTTTGACCTGCAGGTTGGGGTTTTGGGAGTTTGGTGGGTAGAAGGTCAATGAAAGTGTACAAGCTATGAAAAAGATGATATATTTCTCAAACTGAAGTGTACTTCACCTGGAAATAGTGTCCAACGGTGTCCAAGATGGTGTATGATATCGGAGTTCTCATGTAACCCGTCTCCTGCTCTGTGCCTGAAGGGGGCGGGGCCATGGGTTTGGATCGGGTCTTGTCTTTGGGTGTGGTGAAGACACCAATCTCCCTCCTGGCCACCTTCTCAAAGTGGATCGCAGCAGCCTGGATCAGAACATAGTCGACTAAACTACAAATAGCCACAATCTGCCATGACTCCATCAGGAGGTTCAAGGCAAGATGATGGTCATAACCATGAATAAAAACACATTTTACACAAACATTTAAAAGAAACATGTACAATATGACTGAATTACTTTTACTTAAAACAGAAAAGAAACAATTAGTTCTTTAGTCCTACTGCAGCAGCAATTATTTATTATTACACTGACATCATTTATTCATTCCTGTTTTGATTTGATGCACAGACCTAAGCAGAAATATAAAACGTGCATCTTCATTTGGTCAGTTTTATTTGATCTATGGATTATTATTCCTTATAGAGAGCAAAACTAGTGTAGCTAATTGATTAAATTAGATTATCTTTATGAAGTTCAGTTTTTTCAGTAATGGAATAAAAACCTAACCTCATATAAATAGATTAATTAAACACTAAATAACATTTATGATTATGAAAACCCAACATCTTTCTTCTTAGAAAAATACAGTACCAATAAAACAATGCAAAATATATTTTTGTTAAACATATTATAGCCTATAGTGGGTATGGTTACTTGAAAGTTGTCACAGACACTTTTGTGCACCATTTTCTACCTTCTTCTACTATCAGTTTCATAACCACTGAAGGTAACAGCTACTTGATTGTGCAATAAAATGATAATACTGACCCTTTAACTCTCCTGGTGTCCTCGGGTCAAAATGACCCGAGGACAGGAGGGTTAAGACCAGTACTAAGGTATGTTTCACTAACATCTGATCTCCATGTCAGATGCAGTAATTCATGCAAATAGAACCACAAGCAACTATACAGTCCAGTACATAGACATAGACCTACATGTATCGAAATGTTGTTGTTTTATAATCTTCCGTGACACTAAAGTCTCCGTTTAAAATTAATGTAAAAACCTTTTTGAGGATTTTTCCAATTTACAGCTGTCTTCAGTGGGTAGGGTTTGAGAGTTTGTGGGGTGATGAGGGTGTTCCTGTCTCACCAGTGACAGCAGGTTGACGGAAGACTCCATGTCTTTGATCTGCATGGCCTGGGAGTCCAGCAGCCTGAGCACGGTGCTGGCCACGCTGTTGATCTGGTAGGTGACACTGGCTAAAGCCTGGGTGGTCAGAGCCTTGGTCTCCTCCACAGCTTTGGTCGGATCATCCGCCTGTGGCAATATTATCACACACACACATACACACATATCAAATCATGCCTGATTAAAAGCTGTTCGGTGCTCAGAGTGGTCTTCGCTCACCTGGAGGTAGTTGTTCTCGCAGTACTCTGCCACTCGGAGAAGGTTGCTCTGGTTATCAACCAGATCTTTCCTGGCAGCTGGCTCCTCTTGTAATATCTGACTTATAACTTCTGAGAAGCTCTTTGATCCTGTCATTTCTCCCATGGTTGTTGCTTAAAAAATGTTTACTATATGGGAAGCCAACAGACGTTGTTTGGTGAGGATGAAAACGGTTTTTTTCCCGGTCTACGCAGGGAGGTGTTTGTGTCGGTGGAGAACGCGGAAAATCCCTCAGGGGAGAGATTTGAGAGCAGCTGTTCTCAGGGAAGGGCTGCTCCAGGTGGACCGCCAGTCACTCCGCACAAAAACAGGAAACATCTGTCTCCTGTAACTAATATATACGTGTATTCTTTCTTTTTACACAATGCCAATTGAAACAACGAAACTACTTTATTATTTCCGATCCGTCTCCAAGCAAAGTGAAAGTCCACCAGCGATATCCGGGAAGTCCACCAGAGGTCAGTGTCGCCCAAAGAAATGACTTCTAAATCCAGGAACTCCGAGTGACGTGAAAAACTTGTTGAATTCTTACAGGTTTTTTTATTTATTCTACAAAGTCTTTTTGTATTGCCTTGTTGCTGAAAATGTGCTATATAAATAAAATTACCGTTACCCTTTTCCGTTTGTAATTTAAAAACGTTTGTTTTTACTCAACAAACAAAACTTTTAAAATTACCAAGGAAGAGAAGCCCCCCAAATAAAGCTGTTAATGTGTGAAAAAAAAAAAAAACTATTTTCCCCTAAGCTTAATGGGCATGTCACTTCACTGCCATCATTGAGATTTTCCATCACAGTGGGTGTGTTTTTACATTTTAACATTTATTTTTTACTTCACAGAATCAGTTCATATCCTTTAAAATATTATGTTCCTATATTATTCCTGCCTTGTTGCATAGTGCTTTCTTTCATTGTTAGATTGCATATTATATCAGCTTATATTTTCCTTTGATGTATGCATTTGTTTTCTTTGCCATTCCACTCAAGCCATTTCCTTCTTCTGTCAGCAAAACAAGCTTGGTGCTTTGAAATTTGCATGAGACAAACATTTCCTCCACTGGACTTGAAGATGTGATGTTATCAGCTTAATGTTTGAAAGTTCAGCAGCAGGGAAATCCTGCATCCGACAGCATGAGAAGCTGTTGATTTTGAACAATTTTTCTTCAAAAGTCATTCTCCCTATAAACATAACAGCCCCTCTCATTTCCAGCTGTTAGTTTTTCAGCAGGTTTTTTTCTTTCTTTTTTTTTCTTTTCTTTTTTATGAAGAGCTTCCTTTGTTACTTTTGGAGTTTCCTCTCCACTATCTTCAAAAGACACTGGCTATTCTGAACTTCAGTGACAGCACTGATGTGGAGGAGAACATTAACAGAAGCGGACCGCATACATTTAAATACAAGTTGTACTTTTCACAAGTGCCAAACCTGTTTCTTGTCAGATTCTAATGGGTTTGTGTAAATAGTCTGGAGTCCAGAAGTTTTTTTTTCTTCATCCCATCCTACAAGTGATGTCCAGTTCTTCAGAACTGCTTACGCCTATTTTCAGTCAATACAAAACTTAAGTGTCTCTATAATAAGAACTAAATTTAAAAAATGCAGAAAACTTTGCAATACAATTTGACTTTTGGCTGTGCAGTTGTTGATTTGTCTTTAAAATGTTTCCCCAACATCCTAACAGTTTAAAGGTTAAAGCCTTTTCAGGTGGTCAGAGTTGAGTAATTGATAATGTATTTTGGAAAGTTATTATTACACAGCTTTGTTACCTAAAACGACTATGTAACAAATATTTCAAATATTCAAATCACACAAACGCAGCATGATTCACATTCTTTTGTGCCCTCTTACTTTGAGAAAACTGAATGTAAAATGCCCTGAACTCGTTAAGACCACTGAGCTCAGCAGAGCTCAGAAATCTGGCGGCAAAGTGTTGACAATATATGACTCTTTCCTCTTTGTTCTCCTGACATTAAGCCCTGGTGAGGTTTATAGTTTTGAAGGAAAATGTTTTGTAACAGGCATTGAGGTTTCTAAGGTTGAGGTTTGTAAGGACCACTCCAGAAAAACAGAGGGATTTCACCAGGTTGTTGCAGCTTTATAATCTTTTATTTATTTATTTTTTTAGCCAGAAAGGGCTTTTTTTTTTCTTTTTTTTGCCTTCATGAATCAGGGCCTAAACTTGAAAACTTTACTTCAGGAAACAGCTCAATGAATACATCTCTTTCTCTGTTTTTGTTTGTGACACCGATCATGTTCAGGAGGAACGGCCTATGTCAAAGTCGGACAGCAGGGAATCATGGGTGTTCTGTTGGACCGCCAGACCACACACAGTGTAGAAAGCTTGTGGGGTCAAATTGACTACAACAGCCAATGGGCTTTGATTGCTGAACAATTTAATTTAAAACAAGATGACTAAGCAACAGCAAATATGTGTTTAGTCATGTCTATGGGAATGATAGACATTCCCATACTAACAGAAATGACACATTTCTGACTGATCAGGTACTGGCAATATTCTTCCAGCTATGAAAACCTTAAGGTAATTAAAGAATTTACTGCACATTGCCCTTTATTTTTGTATTTCCATGTTTCCTCTTAACTGAAAAGGAAACATGAAACCTTTTTTCTAGAGACTTCAAGACCTCCAATCAAGTTTACTTCTGGTCTGAGTTCTGACATGACAGTTTACGTGTGAAGCACTAATGGCACGACCCAAATCTCAAAATAAAGTGACTTAAACTTGACTTATTTCAAGAGTGCCTTGAAAATGTTCCATGACTCTTGATGGGTTGGAAAGACGACTCCCCCCACTGAGACACATTTTACCAGATTTGATTGTTGATTGTGGTTTTGGAAGACATTGTTTGACTTATACTGGTTGGCCAGTGTAGGAAATGGCACAATGAAGCCCAAGGACATGCTGCACACTACAGGTGAACACTTTGTGATGCACTAGGGATGAAAGTAAGCATACTTATCCTGGTGCTGTTGGGTTAATTTGAGCCTCTTTAAGTCAAATCTCCTGACCTTCCCTTCCTGCAGTCCGTTCTACCCACTGCAGTTTTTTCTCTCTCAGGAATCAGAAATAGATGTACAAACTAATGGTAATAACCACAGTCTTGATTATCCAGCAACATGTGACCAGATAGTCTATCAGTGGTCTCATGCACACTAAAGATTAGTTGTAATTAAACCCACGTCTGATGTGCACATTTGCTCAGCACTTTGTTTTATGGTCTTGTTTAGACAGCTGGATCATTCAAGCATGAAACCAGCAGCAGAGCTCAGAAATGAGATCGCCAGTTCACTTCTAATTGAAACTTAACTCACAGGAAGGTTTGGAGGCAACAGCACAATAAGGCAGTAAATACTCCATAAGCCCAGAGATCATTCAAACTGGTTTATGATCAGACTTTATTAAAATAACAGCTGAATGAGACAATGTTTTCCTCTGGTCTGACTGACTCAAAATTACCTGTTATTTTATGTTGTGAACATCCATTGGTTGTTCACAAACAGCAGAACCTATGGATGACTTCTGCTGCTCCATTACAATGGGGTCCACACAAACATGGCAGACGTTGATAGGGTTAACCACCTGCTGCATCAAACCTTTAGCAATTGAATTCACAAAGTTTTTCAAAGCACAAAATGGCAGAAATGGTTCCTGATGTGGCGCTTGACAAAAAACAGGTGGAAGTGAGAGGAAATAAAGCTTTTCCTTAAGCTAAAGACCATTCAGAGCTGACATAACACATTACAAGTAAAAACCCAAGAAACGGTGCAGACTTCCTCTAAGAGTACAAGTGCCTTTTAAAATTCTTCTGCTTCCTGTGGCCTGATATTTTCAACAAGCCTCTTTTGCACTAAGGGACATCGGAGTTAAAACAAACATTGACTGTCAAAATGCCACGCAATCATCCAGAACCTACAACAGGGACACCAAAAACATCCGACGCACAGCGAAAGAAAACATGAGGTGTTAGACATAAAATTTGCGACAAATTAGCTATCTGAGATGATGTGCTATCAGTACAAAACTTAACTACTGGCAGCACTTTGGTGTGAAGGCGTCTTGTATAGACAGCAAAGTAAAGCTTTTCAAATACATTTTTAATGGCAAAAAGAGAAACAAAGAGAAATAACAAAGAGATGAGACCAAGAACAACACCAGACAGATGGACATTATGCATGATGAAAGGACAGAAATTGGTGAAAAGTTCTTTTCTCTTACAAATCTTCCCTCTGGTTGCTCGGGGCCTCCGAAAAATGACTAGTCTGGAGAGGAAAAAGAACTCCTACAGTAAGTTTTATTGTGCCAACACTGAAGAATCCTGATACAATCCATGTGTTGAGTGGATTTTTTCTCACCACAAGGGAGTGAAGTTGGGGTGGAATCCACCCAAGAACGCTGTTATGAATACAGATCAGAACCAAAACATCTGCCAAATTAAAACCAATTCTTCTGTGTATTTTACAGAAAATGTTAAGGTCAGGACTTGGAGAGATTAGACCTATGGCCAATAAAGTCACCAGAGAACCTTTCAGTAAGAAAGTGTCTTGATAGCTAAGCAAATTGTGTCTAACTGCCACTCTCAGGTAAAAAAAAAAAATGAAACAGTTTTCAGTCAGACTAGGTGATGGTCCTATTTGTATTCACTGAGTATCCATCTTCATATGAATCCCTATAGGATGACTCAGAAGGAGCTGCCCTTAATTGATCAGTTTTTTTCTGAGTGGCAGTGTTGGATCTGGGAATCCAGTAGGCTGCCACCTTCAGTAAATGAAATTGAATAGCAGCATTTCTACTGATGATATGACTTTGTAATTTCACATTTCGAAAATACGTTTACCAAATGGAAACATGCCAACTTTGGAAAAACGCTGTGGTTTTATTTGGCTGTATCGAAATTGATTTATTTCGCCAAACCACAATGGAAACAATTTTTTCTGCCCGCACTTTGAGTCATATGATCAATAACTGGATGTTGCCACTGCCAGAAGACGACAGGAAGTAGTTAGGGGGACGATGGCATGGCATGTTTTTAATGATTTATGGCATGAACAACTTATTGACATGATCTTAATTGAGTTTCTTATTTAATAGAAACAACATAATTGTGAAATCATGTTCTTTAGACATTAGCGGGATATTGATATTTGAATCCAACCCAGGGCCAATCTAATTTTTTGTTATGGGGCCCAAGATTCCAGGCGGCGCCCCTGCCGGAATCTGCCGGAATGTTGGGTCAAATGTGACCCAACATTAAGGTCACATCCAACCGACTTGAATGTCATTAAGACTCGACAACAATGACACGCCCAAGAGGGAAGAAAACCACCATGGCGGACCATATTACTGTGCTGCTCTGGCAGGACAACAACTTCAAAATCGTAAGCTATGCTCCACCGTTGGCATCCATGTTTACTTCCGCAAACACTGAGGACTAGTTCTTTTTATGGCGGTTGGGAA